TGCATGACACTGCTGTGATCGTTGTCATTAGACAATTTCAAGCTTGTGGTACAACGGTTTCAAATTTGAATTGTCGTTCCGAAAGTATTTGGCATCTCAAAAAAGTCATGTGGTTGCCTCTTCGGGTTCTCATGCTCACTCACATCTGGTGCATGATGTCGGAAAAAATATTTTCATCTTTTTTTTATAACAGTCATTGACTGTATTTGTTTTTTCCCCCTCATCTTAATTGTGTATTTAATCTTACAAAAACATCCCAAATGATTGACGTACAAGTCCCTTGAAAAGAAAAAAGTAAGACCCACAGTGAGAGTCAGCATTTGCACAATTCAAAAGAAGGCAAGCCTAACACCGAAAAGTGGATGGCTCTTGTTTTATTGACAGTACAATTCGTGTTTGAACAAATATAAAATACATAAAACATCCACAAAATATTAAAAAATAAATAAAAATTTTTGTTTTCTCTCTTTACAAACAAAATAACTAACCAGACAACAAGGAGAATTAGAAACAAATGAAAAACGTACGAGTACCGAATATTCACTTCAACTGTTTTACTTAGAAAAAAGAAAAAAAAAGGCTGGGGAATTGAAAGTGAAACCTTGAGACCAAAAAAAAAAAAATATATGCATCCTTTTTTTCCCTTCAATTTCTGCATGACATCTCATCACAGCGTAACACTTCTGGGTTGCAAAGCTTCTCCGTGCAACAACTGATTTTATAAAATGAGAAGCAATTCGGAAAGTGGTTTAAGACCTTAAAGTGGATCCGTGTGGAGAAAACTGCTACAAAATCTTCGTCGACCCCTTGAACACAACAACGTACATTTGGATAAATACCAGCCACAGACCGCTCTTTATCAGGAAGTTAAAAGCCACCCCCCCAAAAAAAAAAAAAAAATTGAAATGGAAGTACAAAAAGTCCAATTGCATACCAAACACTTTCAGTGGTGCTACAAGCTTCAGGGCACCGCATCAGACAGGCCAAATCAAGATAAGGCAGCAAGAAGAAAAGTTAACAATTAGCCGAGCTGCGCGTTAGCTCATTCACTTTGGTCGGTGGTGATTTAATTAAGATTATTATTCATTTTTTGGGGACCGAAAATCGGCTCCACACACGCGAAATGCAACTAGCAGGGAGACAAGGCTCGGTTCTTCGCATGCTACTAGATGTCCGATGACTGGGCTAGTTTACAAAAAAAAAAAAAAAAGCTTCGATGGGAGGACTGTCAAGTGTCACATGTGTATAAAACTGCATGGGTTGACTTGTGAAAGAGGGGGGACCATTTCCTGTACAAAGTGTCTGTATTTCAATGTCACGTTAAGGCTGCAGCTGTTTTGAATACTCAAGTGCAAAAACAAAGTTGTGAAATATGCATTCCGTTTGCCTCAAAAGTTTCTGGGGGAGGCCCGTTGGAGGGACGACGTTTTTCGAGGCAGCACCTGAGCGACCAACGGTTCACACACCAGGAGGACGAGAGCAAATGCTGGCTGGCGTTCATGTGTGGCTCCGTTCCATCATTCCTTCTTGTCGTTTTCAATCGACAACCCAAAAACTCTTCTTGTTTCTCACATTTTAGGGGTTCACACACCAGGAGGACGAGAGCAAATGCTGGCGTTCATGTGTGGCTCCATTCCATCATTCCTTCTTGTCGTTTTCAGTCGACACCCCAAAAACTCTTCTCGTTTCTCACATTTTAGCTCATACTACATTGACATTCAGTCCCGTGGCCAATTTTTTTCCAGTTCATATTTTTCATCTGAGCCTAAAATGTCGTTTGGGGGGGCTGTTTTTTTTTTTACGATGGATTAAAAAAAAAAAAATCCTCGTCATTTTCCTAAAATGTCGTTTGGGGGGGCTGTTTTTTTTTTTTTAAACGATGGATTAAAAAAAAAAAAAATCCTCGTCATTTTTCGCTATTTGCTCGCCAATTTGAAGTGATGAGAAGGAATATCGCAGCGCTTATTTTTGGCTCACTTCTGCACAAGGGCCTCCTTGCCGCTGGGCCGCATGCGGCCGAAAGGCGGCGCGCCGACGGAGGCTACGCCGAGACCGGCGGATCATCTGAGCGGCGGAAGGATCTCGGGCGGCGGCTCTTTGGCCGGGAGCTGCCGGGGTCCCGTGTCGGAGGAGGGCGGGGGTGCGGTTTTGACGCCTTCGGCCTTGGTGGGCGAGGCGGCGCTGGCTGCCGCATCCAACGCCCCGGTTGGGTCTAACATCAGATTGATCACTGGGACACACGGGCACAGACACGCACAGGATGAGGGGGGGGGCCGGTTGGCGACCAAGCGCGGGACACAATATGAGGTACGAGCAACAAAATTCCTTCATGTGGACGCTTTTGACTTCGGTGAGCGCGTCGGGCTTTCTCATTTTCATTTCTTTGGTCGAAACCTGGACAATTTCAAACATTTGTGTCGTTTTTCATGATTTCATTGACATATTTGGCAAACTGTTTTGACATTTTTCTTGCATCGTATTTGTATCCTTCATCTGGTCGTGTATTTTGCGTGCGGACTACAAGGCGCACTTGAAACCCTTTCACTTGCTCAAAAATCGACAGTGCGCCTTCCCATCAGATGTGCCTTATGTGTGGATGTCGAAATGAAGTCAAATCAAGTTTGACGCATTTGCTGCACTGGTTCGTTTCCCTTCAATAATGTGCCTTAATTCCCGGTGCGCCTTATAGAGAGAGAACCAAAACAACATTGGGCACAAAAAATTGAGGGGGAAAAAACAACCCCCACCTTCCCTCCAAAAAAATTACACTCACACACACACACAGAAAAAAAAAGAAAAATCGGAAAAAACTCGACAAAAACACAAATATTAGGAAGAAAAATTGATACCCAAAAAAAACGAGAATTAGGGGGAAAAAATAATTGCAAGTAGAAAACCGTCTGAAAGCACTCAACGCCGATGACGTCGACATTTGTCGAGCCGCGTACGTCCGGTGACATTGTACTTGTCTTGTTGGACACGCCCTCGCACCGGCTTGCTTTCGAGCGCATCAAATGGAGGCCCGCTAGCGGGAGGGGACACGTGTCGCGTGTGAGCGGCGTCTTTACCTTCAAGCTGCTTCTCGACTCTTCTGAGCTCAAGCAGCACGGAGGAGATCTCCTGCACAAAGCGACAGCAACAACACCATCACTTGCCTCCCCCAGAGACCCACCGCATCGCTTGTGAAATGTCCAAGACGCTCGAGTACATTGCCGGACGACTTCAAGAGTGGCGCGTCGCTTTCGGATTTCAGTTTCCTTTCGATGTCCTCCCAGTTCCTGTCCTGATCCTTGAACAAGAGCCTGGACAGCAACGACAGCATCAGGACCAAATCCGACCGACTTCTATCTTCATCAAGTGGAAAGCAAAAATCGTGAGAGTATAATGACCGGATTTTTCCTGCTGTTTTATCAGTAGACTGCCTGATCTTGGTGGACAGCTGAAAGACCGAGTGGATCAGGAGGCTGTCCAAAACGGCCTAGAAGGACACACCAATACAAAGCGTCAACACGCCGTGCGTGCGTGCGTGCGTACGTGGGTTTCTCACTCACCTCCTCTCGGTTCCACGTGCGTCTCCTGAGCGCCCGGGGCTCGTGGCTCTCGGGGGCGCGGGGGCGGAGCTCCGCCGGCTTGCCGTTGATCTCCGGCGTCCCGGCGCCGTCGATGACGGGAGGGATCTTGCGGTATTTCAGGCTCTCGTCAAACACGCGATCCACCAGCTGACCGTGTCAAGAAGAAGCAGACAGTCAAAGACTCAAAAAAGATGAAAAAATGGGAAATTCAACAAAATGGCACAATTTCAATTTTTTTTTTTTTGTCGACGGCCGAGCCCGGCGTGGTGGCGGCCGTGCTGGCGGCCGTGCTGGGCGCCGTGTCGGACGAGCTGACCGAGTCGATCTTGCCGGCCACGTCGTGGATCTCGCGTGCCAAGGTGGCCAGGTCCTTAGCCAGGTCCTGGCTGATCCTGCGCACACATGGGAACAACCTGTTAACCATCAGACAAGGTGGTTTAGAACAGCGTCAACAACAAGCAGCGATCACTTCTGAGTAGGGCTGAACAATTCATCCGATCCCCCCCCCCCGACCCCCAGCCTCATTTCAGTCCGCTGATTATCTAAACCTTAATAAGTTGTATTAGTGTGGAGATAAGTTCAGTGGTGAAGAAGTAGAGTTCCGCATGTTTCCATCTTCTTGTTTCAAGAACGTGATCACGCCACACATTCGCCTGCACGATTGTCCGATGCTCCCATCACATGAGCTGCGTCGAGTTTTGTCGTGGTGAACGACCAAAGGACTGTGAGTCAGGCTTTCGTAAGTCAACTAACTGAGGCGGATAAAGTGTCGGGGTTCATTTGGCTTTTAGTGTTAGCGGAACTTACGAGACAAAAACATTTCTGGATCATAAATCGGATATGGCTTATTTTGACACAGCTTAATTTATTGCTTGTTTAGTTAAAAAAAAAACGCACATGGGATGCGGACTTGGAAAAGGGTAATCGTATTAAATTGCAATAACGAGCGAAATCAGGAAAAAAAAAAGGCGTTTCTCAAAATGGTTCAGCCCTACTTTTGAGCATTTGATGTGCAGATCAATACCTGGCGATTTCCTCGCTGTGCGCCGTCCAGTCTCTGATGTACTCGTCTTGTTCCTTCATGCGATGTTTCAGGACCACCGCGCCCACCCCCGGCAGGGCGCCGGATGGGCCGGGCGCCGCGCGCCGGCACGGCGTGATGCGGCCGCGTGTGGGGGCGCCCTCCTCCGTGCTTCGAAGAGTTGCGGCCGGAGCCCAACTCTTCCTCCGAGGTGGACGCGTACTCGGGAGGCAGGCGTCTCCACCGGTTGCTGCTGGACACTGGGAAGGCAGAAATGTGACGCTTTAGTCTCACCTCATTTATTGTCCAAAGACACCTTTTCCGTCAACTTAAGAAAGAAGTCAGCATGGTACAACTCGGATCCTACAAATACATTCGACTTCAGTCTGTGCAGTTCTCATTCCTCTTGGAAAATTAAGAATGGAGAGCAGCTGCAGCAAAGCGTTGTTAAATACACACACACTCCGCCCCCAAAAATACACAATTGAAACAAAGCAAAAAAACAAAAACAAAAACCAAAACCTGCATTCCTCTCGGTGCCAATGAACGGTGCCTAGAATGGCAAACTCCACAAGGGGGAGCCATATTCCAAAGGCGGTGACTAGTTTGACTTCAAGGCTGAAGTGGCAAGCGTGCAAGGGAAGCATCACAGTCGCACACAACGCAAGAACCCGGGTCAGCATCTGGACACTTCATTAGGTACACAAAGAAAAACGTGTTTGGCGGCACATTTGAGTGACTGACTTTGCAGGTATGAAAATAAAGTGAACTCGTAGCAGGAACAAGACCGTCAATGGCGCTAACTGGCGTATCTGCACCGACCGAGTGAAGTGGCCATTGAGCGTCTCGCTTCTCACGGCCGTTAAGCCAGTGTCTTTTACAATCCGATTCAATGTCCGCTCCTTACAGAAGCCGTCTCTGCGGATGCCACTCAGGTCTTCACGCATGCATGCACACACGACACTCTCCTAACAAGATTCTACAGCGCCAGTACAGTACCAGCTCGTTCTTCATCTGCGCCAGGTCCGCCAGGCCCTGCACGAGAGCTCTCTGGACGACGAAAACCGTAAAGGAGTCAACATCCTTCACAACGCGGCGAGAGTGACAACAGACAAATGGCCTTCCACGCCAACGATAACGTTTTGGTGGCGCTTCCTCACCTGTGGGAGAGCAGTACCCGGTCGTAGCGGTCTTGGTTCTGGCCTCGTTCAGCTTGGACACGCTGTTGGCCCTCATCCTGGGAGCCAGCTTGCTCTCGGCGGGCGCCGACGAGCGCAAGCCCAGGCGCAGCGCCGTCTCGGCCGAAAGGCGCGGCGAGGCGGAGGAGACGCGCGCGGCGGCGGCTTTTCTGCGCGCCGAGACCGAGCCCGCCCGGTTGCGGCGCGGCTGCGCCAGCATGTCGAGACGCGACAGTCCTCCGCGGCCGGACGGAGGCTTGGAGGTGGAGCTGGTGGTGGACACCTCGGACGCCACCGACGCTCGGTCCGCGTCGGCCAGATCCGTGTCCGAGGTGTCCCCCAGTCGCGCTCGGCGGAGGAGGGAGGCTCGGGTGGGCCGCGGCTTCGGCAGCGCCGCCTGCTTGCTCAGGGAGGACGACGTGGCGGCCTGCGGACTCCGGCCCGTCTTGGAGGAAACGCCGGCGGCGGCGTTCTTGGCAGATCTCGCCTCGTATCCGGAGTACGTCTCCTGGTCCGAGGAGAGGATGTCGGAAATGGGAAAGGAAGACGTCTGCTCGTCATCGGTGAGATCGAGCGACGGTTGGCGTCCTCTGGAAGAAGAAGGCTGAAGCGAGCGGCGCGGCGCTTCCGCCGTTCTGCTTTTGGCCTTCCTCTCCAGGCGGTCTCGCGCGCCGGCGGGGACGGCGGACTTGGAGGCCGCGCCGACGTTGCTCTTCTCCCGGTGCATGCTGCTGAGCGAGCGGCGCTTCTGCGCGCCGCCGGCCTTCCCCTCGGCCTCGCCGGCCCCGCGACTGGCGGCGCTGGCCGTGTCCACGTCCGACTCCGGCGAGACGGAGCCCGTCCGAGGGCGGAGGCCGTAGCCGGAGACCCGACCGCCGCCGCCGCCGGCTTGAGGGCTTTTTGGCTCCAGCTTGTTTTCATCCCTCAGTTTGGCCTCCAGGAAGGCCATGACGGCTTCGGTGTCCTTGAGGAGCGTGGCCGTGTCCATGCTCCCCACCGAGTCGCTGCGCCCGCGGGCTCCGCCGATGCGCGGGATGAGCTCGGCGGGGACGCTGCCGCTGGGCTTCTCGATGGTGAAGCTGCCTTGCCGCACCAGGGGCTTGCCGGACGCATCCCCGCCGTCTTCTTCCTCCTCCTCCTTCCTTACCTCGGAGCCCTTCCTGCGCTCCGCGGCGCCGGAGGTCCGCGCGGCGGCCTGGCAACAGGAGGAGGCGGCGGCTCTCGGTTTGCGATCGCCGGTCATGTCGCCGTTCTCCCGGGGAGGCGGCGGAGATTGCCCGTCGCCCTTGTTCTCCTTCTCCTGGGGTTCCGTGTCCTGCTTTTCTCCGATCTCGGACCTCGGCGTCTGAGATTTGGCGCCGCTGCGGGGGTCATCCGCGGGGAGGGGGGGGAGGGTCCTGCGCTTGCGCTCGCTCAGACAAGTCGAGGAATCGCCTCGGTTGAGGGGCGCGCCGGACTTCGACGACTCACATCCTGAAAGGGTTGAATGCGGGTGCGATTCAGTCATTTCATTGGAGACGCAGGTGATATCAAGGAGGGAGCGCCTAAGTTTCCACCATCAGCAAGTCCCAAGTCCAACTTTCAAATTTCAGTCCCAAAAGTCCCCAATCATGTTGTCATTGTGGTGGGAAGATCCCGTGTGCACCCTCAAACAAACGCCCCCCCCCCAATTTGGCCTTGTGTACCATGCAAGAGATTTGACGCGAACTACATTTCAAGCGAGTCGAGTCAATTGATGACTTGGGATAGACAAGTCACGAGTCGAGTCTGACGATCCTGCTCGGTCACAACGCAGATTCACATTTGACACTTTGCACTCCGTGTCCGCTCTCATGTTGGCGGTGTGACAGATTCGCAATCGGGTCTACTCGACACTTTGCCTTCTCAAGTGCTTGACAATTCAGAGCAACTGTCCCGGTCCTGCCGGGATCTGTAGTCACGGTTGACGTCTCGGTTGTTGAAAAGCGCGCATGGGTGAAGTCATAGTCGAGCCGAGTTGTGTCGGAGTTGCAGATGGGCGACTTAAGGCGGACCTGAGTCAAGCCACTGACTCCAGCGTGTCGGCGCCGCGTACCTCTTTGTTTGTCCAAGAAAGTCGTGGTCTCGGCACCAGAACCTTCCGGATCGGTCCGGGCGTGGTGGGCGGCCAAATTGGCCCACTGAGAGACCCAGTTGGAGTCCTTTAAGAGAGAAGAGGGAAAATGCAGACGGTGAACGGCGCTAGCGTTCGTGCGTCGGGCAGCACGCGAGCGAGTGTCAGGAAGCAACTCGTGGGAGATCTCATGCGACGAGGAAGCTCGGCCGCCTAAAGCGCAACGCTCAGTTGCCGACAAGATTCTGCGTGAAAGGCAATGATGAAATGGCGTGCCGTTCTTATGGGGGAGAGAGATGGCCAAACGGCAGACGGGCTTGCCCATCCTGGCGCACACTGGCCCTTTTCTTCTTCATCTTTCGGGTGTGACCGCGACTCACATTTCAAGACTCGGCTACGAGCCTTTGAACTGCTCCTCAAGAGCGCGCCTAATACGAGAGCTGCATCGAAACAAAGCCTGCGGCAAAACGGGTGGCTCGCATCGTGCTGCCAGGCTAAGGCGGGCCAGTTGAAACCGTGTGACAGTGCCTCAAACAAATTAACTGTTGAGCCAATCAAAGCGTCTCTTCTGTCATTACCTCCTTCCCAGTCTCCGTTTTCTTTGCTTTTCCTCTTCCCTCCCCTTGGAGCTCCGCGACGGAGGAGTCTTGCTTCTGCTGCAGCCCAAATACCTACAAACACAAGCGTCGGGGTCACACGTGAACCGATCCCATCGAAACACCACCGCGGTCGTGACGCCAGTCTATCGGGGAGCAAAATCAACATCGGGAGGCAGTTGACGGCGTGGCAACAAGGACGCATCGAAGCAACCGACGAGCCCTTGCGAATAATGACACCAGCCCGCAGTGTCGGCAGCTTCCCTGCCTTGTCTATCATGCGCCGGGCCTCCTCCTCTTGCTCCTCCAGGGTGCCGTTTTCCAGCTCGATGGTGTAGGTGCCGTTATCGCTGTGGTCGTCGCCGGCCTCCCCGGCGGCCGCTCGCCCCGCGACGGAGGCGTCCTCGCTGGGGCTGGTGGGGCTTCCGGTGGCCAGGCCCGTGCCCACGGAGCTGCGCCCCACGCTGGGGTCTTCCGACCTTTGCTTGAGGAGCACGCGGGCCGCCGTGGGCGCGCCGGCGGCCACGGTGGCGGAGATCGGGGCCGGGACTTTCCCTGCGGGAAATCCAAACCGCGGAGAAACACAAGACGAGAAAGTATCAGGGCAACGTGTCACGTAGGAGATCCGACACGAGATCTTGCACGGAAAAGCGGCGAGGCGACGACGAGGCCGTAGCATCGCCACCAAGCGGAAACACTTGCAATGTATTCTTGATCAAATGATCACAAATTTAAGTGACGCGTAAACATTGAAACGAAAAGAAAAAATGACGTCGGATGTTCGTTCCGTGTCTCGCTTTCTTTTTGGGGTTTTTTTACCCCGGAGGTGAAGAATGACATTTATGAGCAACCAATGAATTTTTTTTCTTTGTGTGCGAATGTGTTCGATCACTGCCAAACGAGAGTGCGCAGTGTGCATTTCCAATCAAGATACACGCACTGGAAAGCAGATTTGGTCATGGCACCAAAAAAAAAAAAAAATCGTGACTATTCCTAAACGTTTGTGACATGTCAACTATATCCAGTTCAAACGATTACAATTTTGCCACGTAAATCACGTCAAGAATGAATTTGGCTTGCCCGGCTCTCGGACACGTCATTCACATTTCAAATCCAAGTCCAATTTTGGGAAGGCCCCGCCCGGGCGCAGCTGCAGAAATCAGTTACCTGAGTCCGAGGCCGCGCCGGCGGAGGTGGAAATGCTGAACACCTTGGGCTGGGAGGGGGGCTGCGGATACAGCCCCTCGCCGCCGGCTCCGCCCAGCAGCGGCGCGGTCTGGGAAAAGGAATACGAGCGCCGCTTGCGGGGGTTCTCCTCGTCGTAGAGCTCGATCATGAAGGCCGTGCGGCCGCCGCCGCCGCCGCCGCCTCCTCCCCGGGAGCCGCTCGCCGCGTTCTCGCCGGCCGCTCCCGCGCGGGCGTGCACGGCTTTCAGACGTTCCTCGAGGGCGTGACGCCGGCTGGCGAAGCGCAGGCCCAGGCCGTTCTCGGAGTCGCTCTGAGTGCCATCTTCATGTTTGCTGCCTACAAGGGTGACAAGTGACACTTAAACATCAGCAGACGCTAACTCGCCCCCGTTCCCAAAAGAGTCTTGAATTGCCTGTGCTGTCTGAATCATTTCTACCACAAAAACGGATCGACCGAGAAGCATCTCACAACATGAGCGTGAAACTGATGCAATGTCACAAACGCCCGGGAATTTTTTCATTGTATGCTTTATTTGTAAATAAACAATATCATATAATACTTTTCCTCATTAAAAATACCCTGGACAACATTTTTTTGGGGGGGTTAGAGGGGTAGATTCACAGCATTTTCATTTGACTCAATTCCAAACAATGATTTGTAGTACGAGTATTTGGAATGACGAGTATGGTCAGACTCTCTATAACAAGCCAGACTAGGCTTCGCTCCTCCTTCCTTGACACCAATTACTACTTTCTTATGAACCAGGGCTTTGCACCATCTCCCAACATTTTAGACTGCATAAAAATAGACCAATAGCGGAGTTTTTAAGTGAATAGCAGGAAAAAACCTGCTACTATGTGGGGGTTCGCTGTACCGCAAACGTGTGTGGTGTGGGTCAAACTGAAAAAAGAAACGAGGAAAAAAAAAAAAGCTGCCATTTTGAAGCCGTTTGGCTTTTGAGACCAAGATTTTCTTCCTTCAAATGACATTTCTGTCATGTCCCATTTGGATGTGCCGCAACAGACAAGTTGCCGGGGCTGGCCTAGCACATGCCCACTGGCTCAAGAGAGAGAGGAGGGGGGCGGCACAGGAAGAAAACAATGACAATGGGGGGGAGGGGGCCGCAAGAGGGGAGGAAGGGTCATGGGGATGAAATGAGATGAGGGGGTGAAAGGAGATTTGAGAAACGAGGCTGCAGAAAAAGAGGCTATGTCTGGTTTGGAGGCGCAGACGGAAACAGTGGTGAGCGCGTGGGGGGGGGCTCAGTGTAGCGTTCCGACATTCAAGTTGAAGCAAAGAGGACCTGACGAGTCACCGTCTCTCTGTTGGCTATTTCATGAAAAGCCAACGGTGTCGTTCATTCAAAGCGCAAGAATGTATGAAAGGTAAAGCAGATGAGCTGAGAAACAAACGCCTTGATTGTTTTGTCCCCCGACGCAGACAAAGAAGCTGTGAGTGGAGAACAAAGATGGCACTGAGAGGACGCGGGCGCTCTGCGCCGCTTGCCACCATTTCAGTCACGGTGGCCTCTGCCCACACGCGCACGCAACTCCGACGCAAATCCACTCGTACGCCGACAAACACTTGAGCATTCGACAGCGACCGCGTTTTTCCTGCGCCGTCGGACCGCCGACGACCGTCCACGCTGGACACATCGCCTGTCAAGCGCAGACCTAACCGAGAAAGACAAGCTGGGAATGTTTTCCGACGACATTCAGTCTCCATATATGCTAGCTCCCCCCGCGTAACGCACATGAATCCACAAAAGGGATGAATAACGCAGCGCTCGAGTCAACCTGCAGTGGCCCAAATGCCCATTTTCTGTATTGGTCATCTGCTCTTGTTGGTCTCCCATTATTTTGGGGGTTCCGTCGGGTCCTTCCCGCCCGACATCTCCTATTTGCCACGAAGCAACTCTGACATTCATCAGAGGATCACAATTGCTTGATATTCAGACTCATGACATCCCGAAGACACGAATGGTAGACAAAAGGACGCATTTCCTTTGCCTCAGCCGCCTCCGCTCGGTTTGTGCGCACACAGCAACCGCGTGAAAAATGATTGACAGGTGCCCTAAATCGGCTCCTGAATGACTTACTTCCACGCGCTCCCGCGTCCGTCCCCGGTTGACGTGCGGTCCTTGTTCTGGGTGGGTCGCTGCTTCTTTGCCTCTTCAACCTCCCGCGACCGCGACATCGTTGCCTCTCTTTCCACGGCGCGGCAGCCCGGGCGACTAACCTCGCTCTACTTCCTCTCTTTGGCCAATCGGCGCGGGCGCTCTTGCAGCGGTCAGCACTGCGGGGAGGTGCGTTCGCCGCCCGCTTACTCCCCGAAATCCACCGTCAGCGACATCGGCGGCAGGCCTTCATATGCGCCACCCTCTCCGCCTTCATTAGGCCGATCGGACTTGGCCCGATTTGCAGACGAGGTTGCCTCCGCTGAAGCGGCTTCCAAACGTTAAGACAACTCGCAGTGCCCCAAGTCAGCTAGCAGACATCAGCACCAATTAGAGGAGACTCGCATGTAGTCCAACCTCCCCCCCGACATTGAACGAGCATCCCTGCTTTCCACTCGAGCCATTTTCATCAGCCGCCTGTCTGTCAGAGGACCCCCCCCCCCTCCCCCCATACATCAATACATCATCCTCCTCGACCGGCCTCCATTTAATTAACCGAGCGCTCTGCAGTCAGACTCGGACCGGAAGCAGAAGCGTTTGTGGCCGTGTTTGCGTGCGATGGGTGTCATTTGAGTTCCTCACCTTTCAGCCTTTTGAGATGCACGGGCACGTCACTCTTGTTGCTCTTGCTGTCCTCCTCGGCGGACTCGCCGCGGATCAGCGCGGGGTCGTTCTGCGCCAGCCAATCGGCCACCTTGCTCTCCGACGCCATCATGGCCGCCTGCAACGTGCTCAGGTCCCCGCCGCCGGGCCCCGCGCCGCCCCTCTTGGCGCGGGACCTGTGCTGGCCAGGCATGAACTTGGAGACGTGGTCTTTGATGGTGACCCTCCCGGGGGAAGCGCTGTCGAACTCGATGGTGAAGGAGGCGTGGCCTTGAGCTGTCGAGCGCACGCGGTTTTTGCGTTGGTGTCGATAAGAGACGCGACTTGGATAGACATTGGCGATCGCTCATTTTCTGCTCCCACATGGGATATCAAGCGAAGCTCGGGCTTCCTTTCGGCGCCAATATGTTGGTCCCGATCGGGCCAAAGTACGGCCGCGGTTTTGACGGGTCGGACGGCTTCACCTGCGCCGCCGCGAGAGCCGCTCCCCTCCGTGTCCTTGGTGGGTATCTCATGGATACCGTTGGTGGCGACGGGATGATTTTCCTTGGTGGGGATTTCCATGTAACCCGGGTGGTGGCCATCCTCTCCGCGACGAGCCTCTTTGCCCTCTGTGGATTTGCAAAAAAAAGATGCCAGCCAGTTGAATTGTTGGCACGACGAGAAATCGGTACCATTTCGAGCATCAAATCGCTGCGCACCCTTTCAGATACATCATCGATCTGTATGGACTGCGCACCCACCCCCCTGGCCCCCCATGATGCTCGCCAATAAATAATTTGCACAAGTAAGCCTATAAATCTTTCAGTGGCATCGTCCTAAACACGCCACAGCCAGGCTTTACGAGCGTCATAAAAACAATACTCGACTTTGCGTTAGTCGAGCTCTGCGACGTGAGCCCACAACAGCATCCGCGCACGCAGTAAAAGTACAGTTACAATGGGAAAGCTTGATTGTCCGCTTGTTAGCGATGCATACGGCATCCCGAGGCTTCGCTTGAGAACTAGCGCGTGCTCAGTGAATGATCCACAATTCCGCGCGTGTGTGTGTGTGATGGCAGGAATGGGGGAACTGCTTGTGCGACGGCATAATCCGATGGGGCAGTAAATGAGGAGCAAGCGCGGGAGGGGGGTCGGGAGTTCCGTCATCATAGCCGATTCACAGAGGAATTTGAAAAGGACGTGCTCAAAATCAGCAAAACACACACACACATTCTCCATCCGTCTCCCCATCGTCACTTCACTCGGCCTCCAAGCCGACTTCAGTCTATTGGAGCGGACCGACTGAGCAACTTCCGGCAGTTTTCAAACACGCGCCGCGTCAAGACCTTTTTTTGAAGTCTGCCAACCTCACCTACTTCGGGGGCAGACGTCGCCGATCCCATTCTTCCGCGGCGCGAGTCCCCAAACAGCACCAGAAATATCCAAACTGCAGGTAGAATCTGCACGAGTGGCAAGAAAAGCGATCCGGCAGCTGAGGATGCCGGCACAAGTATTCATCCAGATGTGACGAGAGATTTGAGGTCGCTTCAGGGGAGCCCCCCCGCCCCTCGCCCACCCCCTTGCCCTCAAAACCAGGCTGGCCAAACTGATTTGGTACTGCTAAGCTCTTTGACCACCGGCGCAGTCCTTTAATCCCGCCCCCCTGGCTACGCGGCATCAGCTAACGTGAGCCCGCGCTCAGACGGCCGGCCGCCCATCTCGAGCCGGTTGTGTGAAACAAAAGCCCTTTGTGCGCACTTGAGTGGACGTCACCACCGCGCACACAAACACGCCGTCCGTTTGGACACAAACAAGAGGGGAGGTCATCGGGCGCGGTCTGAGAGCGCCGACGCTGCAAATGTGCCACTTTCGTGACTGGGAGGTCACGTCAGCTGTGAGATTTCAAATTGAAGGCTTCACTTGCGGACACGTCCTACCTGTCGGCGGGGGCTTTTTTTTGCTTCGCTGCTTGAAGGAGTTCTCGTCGTCCGCGTCCCCGTAGCCCCACCACGCCGGCTGGCCGTACAGGGGGGTCCCACGAGGCAGCGTTGCAACATCTCCTGGAGACAGCATGGCCACGCGCTTTAATAGACTGAGTATGGAATGTGCAAACACATTTTGGGGAGCTAGTTTACAGACAATTGGCAGGGGTTTTGACATTTTTCTGGTCCACGGGTCCCTTTAGGCCCCGTCGTCCGCGTCCCCGTAGCCCCACCCCGCCGGCTGGCCGTGCAGGGGGGTCCCACGAGGCAGCGTTGCAACATCTCCTGGAGACAGCATGGCCACGCGCTTTAAGAGACTGACTATGGAATGAGCAAACACATTTGGGGGCTAGTTTACGGACAATTGGCAGGGGTTTTGACATTTTTCTGGTCCACGGGTCCCTTTAGGGCAGCGAAACCAAATAAATGTTGAATGGTCTCATCACATGATTGTTTGACAACTGTGCCTTCGGGCGAGACATTTTTCCAAAGGGTCCGATGGACAATTAAAACTCACCTCCCATATCTACCCTTAAATGGCATCGGAATTAAGAAAAACAAGTTGACAATTTGAGGGCAAAAAAAGTCCACGTTATGCATTTTGTTTTTTTTTTGAAGAAAAACAAAGTAGTGATGTTTAAGAATAAAGTCTCTAAAAAGGTAAGGGAAGAAAGTCCTATTTTAACAAGTGACTTTCCAAAATAAAACTTGATTCTTGTAAGATGCCACTTTATTGCCAAGCGCCACGGAGGAGGACCCCCGTAAGCGTGTGTGCCATTTGTTTTCTTCAAGGAGAGCGTGAAAGGAGGCCCGTCCCATTCCGCTGCCCCGAGGTTCTCTCTCGTGCTCACCTCCAACCTTTTCTTCCGCTTTGTGAGCGTCCGGCGTTTTGGGTGGTGGTGGGGAGAGCCCGTCTGCGGTCGTTTGGCCAGGCCTCGGGCTGCCGCCGCCGCCGGGAGACTTCGGCGTCTTTGACGGCGTCTTACTGGGAGGCTTGCACGCACCGGTTTCACCTTTGGACGGCTTCTTGCTCAGCTGGAGGCCACTGGTGAATTTTTCATGCTGCAAAGGGAAGACGGGTCAGCGCGAAGGCCGCTGCGGCTCTTTTGCGCGGGTGCAGCGGCGCCGGGAGCTCACCTTGAGAGCCTCCTCGGGCACGGTGAGCTGCCCCCTCTCCACCGTGAACCAGTTGGTATGTGAGAGAGCCCGGTTAAGGAAACGAGCAAGCCGAACATTTCCCCAGGGGCTCACGAAATGACGAACCGTGCGCGGGTGGCTGAAGGATATCATATCCGAACCTCAGTTTGTCCTCCAACTTGAGGGTGATGTACATCTGCTCTTGAATGCGGACGTCGTTGACAAAGGTCTGTGGGGAGAAGAAGGCGGACGTCAGAGCCGGACCGTCCCGAATGTTTTCATCCCGTATCCGTCAACTCGGCCTACTGACCTATTTCGACCATTTTTGTCTGCGGAAAGTCATGAGAAATGCGAAGCAGAGGGGAAGGCGACGCGCTAGAATCAAGCGCGGACGAGCGCAAAGCAAACCCTCGCATCGGACAGGCTCCGACGGCCGTACGTGCTCAACGCGGCAGTGAGAAAATGGCCCCGAGCGACTCGACAAATCTCCTGAGTCAGCAGCCACAATGCTGCCTTCAGCCAAACAAACGAGAATGGTCGGCGACACGGCGGGAAGCGCCCGTGACTCGCACTTCCTGTCCAACATCTGCAAAGGATGTGAGCGACTTGCTGTGTTTGCATCCGACGGCCGGGGCGCTCATCAGCGCGCGTGACTCAACGGCACATGGCGACTGTTTGCGAGACGGCTCAGCCCCGATCCCCCCGCAAAGCGCGCGCGAACCACATCAGACAGCGTCAATCGATAGCAGAGCGGCTCCCGAGGCTGACGACAAACAAGTCGACCTCTCCGGATGAATCTCCGTATAAACCAAGACGCCTCGTCCCGCGCCGCGCCGCCGATCCGTCGCGATTCTTTCATTTGTATTCTTCGGGCCTCGGCACGTTTGGTGGGAAACACTCACCCCGTTCAGGCTGCCCAGGTCCTTGACCTTGTGTTCGTCTGAGCCGGGCTCGTAGTTGATGACGGCGTGCTGCTTGTCCACACTGCGCGACTGTAAAGCACAAAGAAAAACATGGCGCGGGCAGCTCGCAGGTGAGGGCTGGAAAAAAAAAAAAACGGTTCTCGATCACCCGATGCCTCGGCCGGCATGACCGG